ACTGATCCGTCATCCCTCTTGTTGTCATTTCATTGTGGAGGACAAATAGTAACACGGTAGATAAACATCTGTGCCAGAGGTGATAAATCCTTCATCGGTATCGCGCTCCACATGCTAATCTGTTAACATACATTGTTGTGGCCCCCCAGCTGCTTCATTTCACAGCAACAATCCTGTGTCCCTGTAGGTTCTTGTCTGGTTTGCAATTAAGCTTTTTCAACACCGTCAAAAAAATTCACATTTCAAATTTAAACATGCTGGCGAAGGCCCAGATAAGCCGCTCTCTGCATCAATGTCAACTTATGAAGTTTCATTCATTGCTATTCATCGGTGTGCACGTGCTTCCTTAGTCTAGTGTCTTGTAGACCCACTGTGTTGGTTATAGTTGGTAGTCTGTTAGCCTCGAGGAGCGATTCATTGAAAGGCCCGGAATACTGACTCCCTTTTTTCTGGCTCACCCGAATGGAAAGGTGCATGAAGGCATCTGAAAAATGTGTTCACAGTTGAGGTTGGTTAAGAAAGAGCTATGGGTGGCCTTTGTCAACCTTAATAGAGCACAAATAAAGATCTAGATAAATAAGAGCACATTCAGAAAATACAGAAAGATATGAACAAACACACACCATGCAGTAACTTGTGTATTTGTGTGGCTTCTATGGATACAGTTTCGGTATCAATACACCCTTCAGGTGGGCCTTTAGTATTAGGGGTCCCTGGCATTCTGTACTGTATACAGTTACCAGTCAATCATCAGCAGATGTTCCATACCATCAGGCTCTCCACACCAATAACGACTGAGGGAACAAGCTCGGTCCGTGTCTGTTTCACTTGAGATGGAGAAGGGTCTAACAGTATCAAAGCTGTATAGCCCTGGGGGGGGGGCGTGGAGCCGCAGCACCTCTGCAAGTATCCTGCAGTGCGGCGTGTCACGTTTACCCCAACTCAACACACACGCCAGGCAGCATCAGTATCCAAACCACAGAGCCTCACATACAGAAACCAACTGTCAAATACAGCGAGGAATGTGTTGAGTCAAGTGCCGGTCCTCTTGCATGACACAAGTGATGCTTTGTTTGAGTGGAAAACAGCCTCTGTCATTGTTGGATCCTCTTGAGCTTTCAATTGTGTATATTTGCTCCCAAATGTTGTACATTTCACCTGTCAGAAACACATTTATTTTTACTTTTCATCATTTGGAAACCATTTTAAGATTTTAGCAGGATAGTTATGATGTTGTGAACAATGTCAGAACATTACAGATTTCTTCTTACCAGAATTGAAACCTGAGGGCTTAGAAGCATGTAAAGTACTTCTTTTGAAAGTGCTATAGACATCGTTTATTTTTATTTTTATTGTTGCTTACAGTAATCACCATTTTAAAGTAATCAGAATTTGAGAACAATCTTTAGAGTATTTTATGGGGAGCCAATACAGAGGACATTCTGTAAAAAACTGTGTTCCTCATTTGTCAGATTCACTAACATAAATGTAATAGAATGACTTCTCAGGTATTGTCTATTTGCATTGAAGAAAGCTTCATTAAACCCTGGAAAATTAGAAATGTTGCTCTATAATAAAATTATTAACTGCTGCATTTATCAAAAATAATCGTATTAATGAAATGAGCAACCTAAGATTACTGCCTACCTCGCTGTGTGTAAGATCTTTTAGCTTTTATGGATCAGGCAGTAAAAGCACTCTGTGTGTGACATTTATGTATTCACCTTACCCATTTAACAAATGTTATTTCTGACCAGCAACTCTAAAGACAAAGTAATGAATATCAGCTGATAGCGATCAGCGCGCCATCAGTCTGAGTGCTACTATTTACTTGTAATGAGTGGTCATTAAAAAACACTGCTGGTTGTAAGATTTTTTTTTTACAAGATTTCTTATTTACTGTACATTGTCTCCGGTTGCTGAGTGTGTATCAGCGTATTTAACAACTAGGGGCTGGTATCATCTGTCTCCTGTCTACATGGGGATCAATACCATCTTAAGCAAGATGGGTTTTCAGAGACACATGCGCATACATCGAAGAGATCTGTAAACATCATCTCATACATTTGTAACAGATACGTCAGTAGCATCCATTATCTTGCTCTTGCTCTGTCTCTCTCTTACCCACAGAGGACAAATCAAAAACATATATTGCCTATTTGTGTCAGTCTCCCTCTCATCTTCTTTGCTCTCCAGTCTGTCCGTGGACAGACTCACAACAGGACAGATAGACAAACTAACCCCCCACACACACACGCTCAAACCCCCTCTCTCAAAGACACTCAGTCTCACAAACACAGAAAATCGAAATCACAAATCGGCTTAACTCTCCCTGACACGTCTGTGAATTAAGCCTTTCCGATGCTCTCCCTTTCCCATTATAAAGGCATTGTCAGAGTCTGAATCAGTAACAGGTAGCCCACAGCTCCTGCTGCTTCGCTCTCGCTCCTCTCTTTCGCTGTCCTTCCCTCTTCCTCGCCTTCTCTCTTCTTCTTTCTCTTTCTTTGTCTTCTGCTTTCTCCCTGTGTGTCCCTCAGCCTTTCTTTCTTCCTCCCTCTCCATGTTCCTCTTCTCTTGCTGTCGTCTTCTTCATGACCTCCATCAGCTCTCTCCCTAATCATCCTTCTCCTGTCCTCACACAGTCTTCTCGTTTTCCCTCGACTACTGAATATTCTCATTTTTTCAAAGGAATATTAAGCTACATGCACTAGGTACAGGTACAGATCTATTTCACACAAAAAGGATAATATAAGTTTATATACCTGTTACAATAAGTTTACATTGGGGTTTTGCTTGTTGTAATTAAAGAATCCGTATTGCAGGATTGCACCAGCTGTTTTTAAGGCCTCACTTTATCATCACCATGTTTTGAAGTCTTTCCTAAGATCTTAGTAATTAATAGCTAATTTCAAACTAGTCATTTACTCAATACGTCTGCTCTGTTATAAATAAGGCAATGTGAGTACAGCTGCTTAAGTAATGTCTTCATTGGCTGTAAGTAAATATATATTGTATTACCTCTTGTTAGCAAATGTTATCAGGTGGGGTAGGTAAGTTTGAGAAACCGGCTCGAGATACACTTTTTGTTATATTCGATGGAATGCTCTTAACATCCCGATAGCAATGAATATCTTAAGTGCTTTGACAAAAAATCCATAAAAACATTTTATCTGTGAAAGCCGTAGTACTGTAAAAAGCACGACCAATCCTCTGAGCCGGCCGGGCTAAAATAACTGGATGGCCTACCTGCCTGTCAGCCTTCCATCTGTAAACAAACTTATCTCGTGCCCTCATTGGTCATGTGGGCGTTCGTGTGTGTTGGAGGAGGGGCTCTGTAAGGAAGTGGCAGATTTTTTCCGGCTGTGTATTCAAATTCTAGCGCACTCGAGCTGGTTTCTCCAAAATTACCTACCCCACCTTTAGGCTATCTTAAAGTGACACCTGGGTACTTGGAGTGAATATTTAATAACAACTGATTTCTACGCTTAAGAAAATTAATAAATACGGTTATAAAATAATAATCGTATTACATGTCTTGCTAAAAAATATCTTAAAAAACAAGTCACTGCTTGTGAGCCCCGAGTAGTTCTGCAGGTTTCTCGAAATTCCCCGTAAAATTAAGGTGGTTGAACACAGCCTGAAAGATGAAGCCCGGACAAAAAATGCTTAACCATCCACAATGAATATCAGCCCTGCAATCTGTTTTAAATTACTAGTGTGTAAATATCCACTTAGTAAACACTACATTTTAATGAGAAATACAAAAGAGCTATTGTAACTGTTATACTTCTTTAAACAGTGATCCCAGCTTCACATAGTTTTTTCTTTTTGTACTGAGGTCAAACTCCGGTAAGGATCACATGAAGTTTGCATATCGAGTGGGATAGGGAGAAAGATGTTTGAGGTAGAAGAAGCAGGAGAGAGAGTTAGCTGACTGTGTTGTGAATGCAGGGAGTAGACAAGCCGAGCGATTCTGACAGGCTGTGTCTGCACAGTTTGTTCTCCAATAGGCCCACACAGTCACCAGCGGGGTGCACACACACACACACACACACACCAGCCTGCACTACTCGAGTTGCAGGATGATATACACACACACACACACACACAGACACGGACACACTCACAGTACACACTCACAAAGTGGAAGGAAAAAGGGCTTGCTTTTGAACGTGTTCCTCCCGAGGATTCAGTGCTGGGGAAATGGAGCTATCACGGCAAGGGTTGAAAGAGCAACAATGGTTTCATCCCTTTCCCTCATGTACCACTGCACTGTGAAAGAGAAGCTTCTAGCGTTCTCATCCGCCCGTTACAACACGCCACACATTTTACCAAGAGGAGAGGCTCGGGAGTGAGGGAGACAGCATCCTCTCTCAGCAATCAATGAACCGCACAAACCCATATTGTTGATACATCAGCAGCAGATATTGATTATTTTGACAGACCAAAGACAATGGTGTGTATTGATCTTAAAAACGTCCCTGAGTCCTGTTGCTGTTTGTTGACACTGTCCCTCTTCTTCTTCTCTGGCTGCGTTGTCCTCATGCCACCCCTTCCCGGCCCAACCCTTTTTTTTCTTCCTCTGTTTTTATTGCTTTGAACTTTTAGGAGTGGCGATTTCCTCAACTTTTTCCCTTCCTGTCCACCTGCTGACTTTCCTTCTCTTTTTCTCACTTCTAACCCCAACGTCCTGCCTTGCCTTTTTAACCCCTTACCACTACAGGCCACCATGCCCTTTCTTCTTGCTTATACACTCGTATATACTCCTCCTTCGAATGTGTTTGCTTCTTTTCTGATATTTTTGTTTGGTTAGTTTTGGTCTTTTTGTTGGGTTTTTCTGTTTTGGTTTGGGTTTCACATGGGCTCCAGAATGATTTTCATCCACTCATGTGGAGGCTAATGAGAACCAGAATAAATAAATAAAAGAATATGCACAGTCTGCATCATTTCTTCTGTGCTTCCGTCCATCTGAGACTCTCCTTGTCTTCTCTCTCGTTCAGGGTGCAGTGATCACGCCAGGCATGGACCACACTATGTCCATGCAGCCTGCCAGCATGATGGGCCCTCTCGCCCAGCAGATGAACCATCTGTCCCTGGGCACTACAGGAAGTGTGAGTACTCCTTACTGTGCTACTATGAGCCATGCACATACCAAAACACAAGCTACTCCATAATCTAGACGAATGACAAACGGTCACAGCAGGAACATTCAGGAACAGCAATAAGTACTTGGACTTGTTATGCTACATACAGTACAAGTTGCTCTGTACTGTGAAATAATAACGCCGCAATTTGCACAGCATTTTTGTTGTAAAATACCATTAGAATGGAAAGCACACTTACCAATTTCCTCATGATGTATTATTTTCTAGGTTATAAAAGCAGAATTAAATATGTACAGTGGATCAGTTTTAAGTGGCCAATAATAAACCTATGACTATATTGCATTCCCCTAGGAACAATACACATTCAAACAACGCACATCCATCATAGAAAGGTGCGCTTTACATTTTGTGTGGCTAGCGGGTTTGCTTTTCGCCATAGCAGTTCTGCAAATGAAAATCAACTCACAGTCTGCATATGCTCTCTGAGAAAATTGAGAGGGAGAACTGCAGGTGTCCATTACACAGTAAGTTTGGGTCAGAACTCAGGAGGACCGAGTGGATGCCTTTTATCTTTGGGGAACATCATTCATTTGGTTTAAAAACAAAGTACACATTCAGTGGAAGATGGATTTTACATTTCCTTTCAAGAAAGCCAAAGCTACTTAGGCTGTCGCCACATGTGCTCTGCCATGGCGCTCCTGTATCATTTGTTTTACACTCCATGCATTCATGGCCAGATATCAAGAGAGCATGTTTCCTCCCTGATCTCCCACATTAAACAGATTTCCTGTGAAGTTCGACAGTGTGACAGGGCCCTCTGTTCTCCACCTTATTCCCTTTCACCCTCTAACTCTTGTTTCTCACTTATACTTTCTGTCTCCCTCACACGTCAAATCTAGTTTTCCTTATTCCACACACACAGCCGCTTACAGTCGCCACCCCAGAAACCAGGAACTCCCCCCTGTTTTAGGATCAAGTGGACTTAGTGGTGTCGCACAGTTCTGAAGCCTGACTTCCTGCCCTAACCCCACTGCCCCAGGGCAGGCGAGCAGGCAGCTTTTCTCCAGCACTGCGTTTGATCTGTGTGTGTGTGTGTGTGTGTGTATGATTGAAACAGTGCTGTATTGTACAGTTACCCATGTGTTTCCAGGTGAGCTGTCAGCGACTGTGACGCCATGTTGGCTCTTTCAGGAATGCCCCCTCCCTAATCTGCCCCAGCTGTGCTAACAGCCAGGATTAGAGACAGGCTAATCTATGATGATGGCTTCTGATGTTTGACGGCTTGTATTATAGGAGAAAGTGGGTTCAGGCACCCACTCTCTTTTTTATATTTCTGGTTTAGTCTCTCTGCCTCTCTCCTTTTCGCCTGCTTAGCTTTCCTGAGGCGGTGTGCTGTGTAGCATAATTTCTCTATGGCTGAGCTGCACACACGGCATGCCACTCTTGATCATCTATGGGAATTGAGACATGTTTCCTATCAAGCTTTTTCTCAAGCCAGATGTGAGAGCCCTTTCATAATGCTTGATTGAGAAAGTCTGTTAAAAAAGGGGTTAGGAACCGGGATCTGTAACTATCCGTGTAGTAAACTGGACTTGACACCACATATTCTAAGAGCACATTTCTCAAGTGTATACGCATGTGGTGTGGTTGTTTTGATTTCCTCCACTGGTCAAGTGACCTCCCCTTTGCCACCGGAGAGCACCTGCCATGAGAAGCGTCTCCAAAGTCAACAACTTATCACGACTGCGTATGTCCGCTGGAGGGAAAGCCACACCTCAGAATACTCTTGGCTGTTTGTGTGTGGCTGCGGTGTTAGCCTTCTCTCCAAGTCAAGAACCAAATGTTCCCGGTCGGCCCCAGCTGTGACACTGGTGTGGTGACACGAGAACGCAGTGTTAGGCCTGTTAAAAGGGAGTGGCTAGGGAAACTTTGCCTCGTAATAAGGAAGCATGGATCGATGCCGTCTGATGGTCACTGCTTTGGAATTCAGCTGCCTCACCAAAAGTAATGAAATGTTTACAAAAATCTCTTTAGTCCCCTGCTCTATTTGGTGTCTGTGTATCTTGAACAATTTGATTACAGAATGCTAAAGAACCTTAGGCTCAATGTTTATGGATGGCACACCATAAAAATGCCATCCATGCTCCTCATTGATTAATTTGTCTATGTTTGGTGCATATCGCTCGGTTACTGATTTATTTACTATCTCTGCGCTCTCACCACTTAGCAGGAGTCTATCTGTCATGCTCTGTGTTTATTCATGCCTGGTAGTTGCTGTGCACGTGTGGATGTGCCCATGCTCTATCGTGTGCACATTTGTGTGTGTGCGTTTGCGACATAGTGTTTGACATGACAAGAGATGACCTTCCCTCTGTGTTCTCCATCCTACTCCTGTCATGGCAAGTAGAACCCAGGTCTCTCTGTTGTCATGGTGACAGTGGTGATTGACAGCTTCTCTGTCTCTGGAAGACAGATTTGTGTGAAGAGCTCCCCTCTATTATCTGGGCTGTTTCCCTTGGATTTCCATGGGGAAGTACAGTACTGTTCTACATTTTTATAACAGTGCATTGAGATATTTAACTTTAACTCACCAGGGGAAAGTTGACCGAGCATGCACTCTGTAGCTTCACATTCAAACAGTAACAAATGTTGACTGCAAGGTGATTCCCAGAGCCAATCGGTGGGAGGTAGTTGTTAAAGGAGTGCTTTTATGCTTTTGGGGGTTTTCCATCCTGTAATGTGTTGTATAGGTTTGTTTGCATGTAGCCCTTGTATTTACTTCTGACATCACTATGAAACACTCACGCTTCTATTGGCTGGTGCTCCAACGCATGTACATGATAGGCCTAGGGGCAGGATATCTCTAAGAAGTTGACCAATTACAACAGAGTCGTCCAGCTAACCAATCAGAGCAGACTTTGCTCTGGTTTCAGATAGAGGGTGAAAAGAGGTACTGCAGCACAGGCGGTATGAGAAAAATAAATACCTTTTTGATCATTAAAGCATGGATACATGTCACAGTAAAGGCAGTTTAGTGTTCAACTGGATTTTTTACCATTAAACTTAAAGCTTCACAACTTAATACAATTAGCAGTGAACAGAGCCAACCTGTAGATCGGTGGAATTATGTCAAACCTATGGCACAACGGTGTATCATTTCACCAATGTGTGTGTGCTTTTGTGTGTAAGATACGAAACAGGACTCCATAGTGCTAATGTGGGTCAAACTCTCCACAGGGTTCCTTCTTACAGAGATAGTAAATAGTAAAATGATATACTATAAAAGCCTGCTAATGCGAATGTATTTAAGGAAGTGATTAAAAAGATGATGCTGATTTTTGCCAGCATACAGTAAATCTCTGCAGGCGGGCTGTTAACAAAGCCTCTGGGCCAAGATATGGAGAGGCTTTTCATGGTGAGGCAGTACAGCATTGTGATTCACAGCCACTGGTTTGCAGCTCCAATAGTTCCCATTGTGTAGGAGCAGCACAGCTTAGATCAATAGTCATCAGAGCCCATCCCCACGCTTCTCTGCCATTAATAACCCATCCTGAATAGCTGGATGCTCTTGCCTTGACCAACTGTTATCCTCTAGCTTGCACACGATGTGACAGAACAGCATGTCAACACAGAGGGGACTGATAGATGGAGGCTGAGTGACAGACAGAGAGCTGGGTGATGTATTTGAACATGCTGCGCCCAAGTCACCTTTCCTAGAAACTATTTGCAGCTGTGGAAAGCAGAAAGTAAACTGCTCTATCATCCTCATAAATTGCCTAAGTTGGTGCAGAGGCCCAAACCTCTGTGGTACCAGAGTGGTTCTATCTACGCTGGTACATCCATTTTTTTTTTTTATCCTGCCATTGCTGCATTGCGGTGTGATTTTATACCGTACTTATAGTTGTATGTCATAGAGAGTGATGGTAGAGAAGAGACTTAAGGAGTCTACTCACACCGGCCTCGTTAAGGAACTATTCAGGCCTCCCGTTCATCAAACAAACGCACCCGCCATCTGCTCCCGTTGAAGGTGTGTGTTTGTGTGTGTGTGTGCATAGATACAGTATGAGTGACTGTGTATGTATGGGACACCATTTATTGCCAATTAGGGATGTTTTATATTGGCTAAACCTGTCCCCTGACTATGGACAGGGAAGTATTAAAAGGGTTGAAATTGGATAAAAATCATCTTTATCGCCATAGCAACCCATTTCACTGTAGCCAGGCTTGACATCCCTCTGACTTTCCACAGCAGCGACTGCAGAAATATGCCCCGCTCAACCTGCCACATTCAATAGGTTAACTAATGGTTATGGTAGAGGGGAAAATCTTATCTTATTACATGCCCTTGTTATATCTCATTTAAATTCCTTTTGCAGTCCTGCAGCGAAATATAACATTTCAAATGGACATCCTCCGTGTGACAGGGAGATTTTGATATAGCTAATTATCTCCTGCTTCCCTTCATTTGCTTTCATGCAGCCCTCACAGGTGAGTTGACTGAATAAGTTAATGGGAAGGAGACGCGAAGACTAAAAGTCCTGAGGAAAATTGGTATGCATGGTTTCAATTCACCGAGGAGAAGGTCACTTCAACAACCTGATAGGCCCTTTTAAACAATAGCAGGTTGAGAGCGAGGGAGGGGGGAGAGAGCGAGTGACAGGAAGGTGAGAGGGAAGAAGGGATGACACAGAGAGTTAATGTGGGAATGTGTCAGGAAGTCTGGAAGTGCCGCCTCACCCCGTCCGGAGTGTGACAGCACTGAAGGTGTGATAACCTTAAATTCACACACACACACATTCAGTATGAACACACACCAACATCCATCCCAGGGCATCCTCCTGGCCATGTGTATCCACGGTGGGGGAGTAAATCACCCGTGTCCATGGCCTTTAGCTGCTCTCATTAGGGGTGAGCGGTGGAGCCGTACCCGATCCATTAGCCACGCTGCCGGTAATGACACTTCACCAGCACCGCTGGGCCCTCGGCCAAGAGAGGCTCCGCAGCCGGGCAGAGCCCCTCCATTACTGCCTCCTCCTGCATACTGCCGCCACGCTTTTTAGCTCTGGCAGGGGGACTGAGAGGAGAAGGAAAAAAAATAAGACGGAAAGAAAGGGATTGCACTTTCCTTCTTTTTTTTTCTCGGTCCGGAAAAGCAGCAGGAAGACGAGGAGAGATGGAGAGGCAGCCTGGTGGCTTTTATCTGGGATCACATCCGTTGGCGCTGTACTGCAGCATTATCGTTCCAAGCCTCTTTGTCTTTGTCTGTCTCTCACAGGCTCTCACACACATACACACACACGTATGTTTCAAACACACAGCTGCATGCGAGATAACTCATACATCCAGATGCACAGTTGGGCAGACAAATAGTGATAAGTCATCTTTTATGCACAGGCATGTGCTAATTAAAAAGAAGTGCACACACACTGGCAAATCAGGCTGACACTGGCACGCGTGTTCACCTCCACGCACACACTCAACATCCATTCACAGCAAGTCCCAGAAAAAAAACACCTCGCCCAAAGTGCCGTGTCCTCATTCATATTGCATGTAAAAGCCCTGTGGCTCTCATGTAACTAAGCTTGTGTCACGTCTGTAGAATGGCCATCATGCAGTGAGCTAGCACCAAGTTAAAAGCCAGGGCAGGCATGTCGAAAGGAATATAGGCCACAGGCAAAAGACCTCCTGCTTTCTCTTGCCTTCCCTCTCTCTCTTCATCCTCCTCAACTTTTTTCTTCATTGTTGTATCGTCTTCTCAGCTGTGGCCTGGTGCATTTGCCTGCCTGTGAAGTCTTGGTGGAACAGCTGGACCTCTCTCCCTCCTCACTCAACTCTGTCTCCCTCACACACTCTGCTCTGCTGAGAGTGCACACATATTCTTTCAGCGCCCTCCGAAGGATGCTGAGGGCGCAGCAGGCTCTCATTCTCAATGGTTTCTGGGAGTAATTGCAGTTAATGAGACTGTCTGGGGATTTTGGAATCAGGGTTGGAAGTGTTTTTCTGTCCCATATTGGATAGTGATTAGTATACTTGTGTCAGAACTGCGTGTAATATTTGTGTTTTCTGATGTATGCAGGGATTTTGATGCTTGTTCGTCTCTTGTTTGTGTTTCAGTACATGACTGCTGCAGCTGCCGCGGCGCCTATGCAAGGGACCTACATTCCCCAGTACACTCCTGTGCCTCCAACAGCGCTCCCTGTCGAAGTAAGGCTGCACTCAGTACATATCAAAAACCTGTCCATGTTTACCCAAATGGAGGACATCATTACTCCTGACAGCCCACTCCCTTACTCCCACAAGCATTCCCTTTGCCATTTCTAAAAAACCTTCTCACCACATCAACAAACCCAAACATTAAACAGACGGATTACATTTGAAGCAAGCCGTAAATTGCTCGTATTGTCTCTGAATAAATGGCCTTGCAAATAACAAGGATGAAAAGTGCAAGCAAAGCAAGAAGTGGCAGAAGTTTTATAGTATTCGGGGAAAGACATTTGAAGTGCAGCACAGACTTTGTCACTTCTTTGGGCGGCTGTCTGAGCTGCTGGCAGGTTGGGGCAGGCCAGCCTGAGAAATGATGAACGCGGAAAGCAGGAAGAGGCAGGCCGGCGAGGAGAGCGCGACGGCTGTCTGCCGGCTGACAGCGAGCTCGTATTCAGATGGACTATCAGTCGTGTATCAGATGACAGGAGCTGAAGTGAGACACAGTGCCGGCGGTGCTGTCTCTCTCTCTCCCCCCCCCACACTCCCTCCACAGCCAGTCCGGGCTGGTAGGTAACAAGAACACACACATCCGTCAGCCACGGAGCTCTGCTTAGCCCACCAGCCACGGACAATGACAGTTTTCCCTTGACAGAGCCATTAGTCCCCTCCCCCCCCTTTCTCTCTCATCCCCTCCTCCTAAGCTCCCGAAAAGTTCATCATGCAGGAGTAGGACGGAGGAGAGGAATGTAGTTGTAGTGTAGCCCGTGGCGCCTCTTTACCTATTTCATCCTCACCTTCTCAATGCCAGCCTCAGCAGCGGGGCGTATATCACAGCGTCAGCCTGACTGCAGGGCTGATGTATGGACAGGTCGCAGTCTCCTTGAGAGCTTGTTAAAGGTGATTGAGATGGCTCAGTGATGGGGGCTATCGTTTATGCTAGAAAGGCACATAAAAAGGCTAAGAGGCTGTTGTGATGAATTCAGAGTGCATGGCCATCTTTAAAGACTTTTTTTTTACCTCAAATATAGATGTCAAAGTCTGCAAGCAATTCAGCACATTTTATATTATTCGCACATGCTTGACTTTAAACACTAATCACTTTCATCTCAGTTATTTCCAAATGATGTACTATTATTCAATACAAAACGTTTTCAGCTTAAGTTGCTTAATTTCATAAAAGACAAATACCTTATATTTATTTTACAATGCTGTCTAACACTTGAGGGTCTACCCCTTAACAGTGCATAATTAAAAAGACTCTAAGTGTCATTTCTAACAGGCAGTAACGGCATCTTTGAATAAAATAGTGTGATATGGGTCATATAACCAGAGTGATAGACCTGTCATCTGAGAAGATAATAATCACACATTTTTATTAGGTCTATTCTTATATCGTGCCAAAACTGTTTTGTTTCTACCATTAAACTATAATGTGTTTTAAAGCATTGAGAGGGCTTAACAGTTTGTATACTTAGATCCTTAATTTAAGTTAGAAAAAGTAGAACAAATATTGGTCAAACAAGGAGCAACAGAGGACACTTCACTTCCCCAGGACAGCAGGACACGCAGTACTACAAATGTATGTTCACACAGTAGACAGGAGTGGTAGGGAAACTGTCCGTTTCAGCAGGAAGTGGCGAGCTCTGTAGAGAGAAGCTTGTTAAAGTTCAGAGCTGACAGATTTCCTCCTGTGTGTGTCCTCAGGGAGTGGTGACAGACGCCTCCCCCCAGACAGTGGCTCCCTCGTCACAGGAGGTGGCTGGACAGCAGCAACAGATCCAAGTGGACAGTTCTGCCGACCATGTTCCTGCTTACTCATACCAGTCCAAGTAAGTCACACGGGGAGGCAGGACACTCGCTGTCAGCCGCTGTAACGTGATATCCTCTGCTTTCCTTTGTATTGTAAGCTTTATCAGTGGGTGGTATGACAGCATTTATTCAGAGACAATATAAATGTATATAGTACTTAGCTTCATCAGGTATTTCTATGCATTTTCTCCTGTCCTACAAATATATTTTTACTTATATCAAGTATCAAATTCTGCTACACACTTTTTTCTCATTCCCAAAGTACATTTTTCAATAAAGCTATAAGCTAATTCCTGTCTGTGAATTGTGTTGTAAGGGATTTTATTGTACAAAATATAATTTGTTCAGATTTGTACTAGCATAAGCATTCAAGTTATTCTCTTTGACAAATAGTGATAGTGAATGCTTAGTACAAATCTAAATAAAACGTGAGCACTAAGACGCAGCAGTGTTTTGATAAATGACTCAAATTATTGCTGGCGTCAGTTGTCAGTTGCTCGTCATTGTAGCAGCACTTTTTTCCTTTGGGTCCCGATCACAACAGTTTAACTTGATTCATTCTGCTTCAGTCTTCTGACAGAGCTGTCAGCTGTCAGCTCTATTGCTTTTCTCTGTTTGTAATATTGTGCTTTGATTACAATGGCACCCCTCTCTCTCTCTGTGTTTTCTCCCCTTCATCAGATAGCATCGGCCTGAGCGAATGTTCCTGTGACAGCGTTGCCTTGAGACAGAAGGTGGCTGCACTGTGAATGTGAGGAAAAGAGAAAAGAAAGAGATTACTTCCAGATTGCCCAGCCACCAAAAAAGAGACACTTTTTTCATTTCCTACCTGGCCTACGTGAAAAAAAGAGAGGGGAAAAAATGCAAGAAGGAGGCAAAGAGTGCTGAGGAAGGGGATGGGGGAATTGCTGGGCACAGTGCAAAGAAGTGAAATTGTTTAGTCTGGGAACCTGCCAGAAGGGCTGGGCTGAAGCTTGAAAAGTTTCTCAAAGAAAATTCTCAACCAATTAAAAAAAAATGGGAAAAAAAACAAGGAAATAGAAAATGACAAAAAAAGGTTGAATGCGCAGGTAGGTGATGAAGTTTATTTTGTAATTAGAAAAGGGGAGTCAAGTTTGAAATACACACAGAGATTGTCTTCCTCAGATATTAAGCTACAATTTCTTTTCACTCTTTTTTATGTTCTAGTGTTAAATTTTAGTTTTCTAGATATATTCAGAAACAAAGTGTTTTTTCTTTCTTGAATCTTCATGGCCTTAATTTGAAGGGCGGCAGAAACTTTTTACAGAGTTAAAGTCTGACGTCTGTTTAGAAGGGGAAAAAAAGCAAACAAAGTCAGTTTCTTGCACCACTCGGAGGGTACAAGACACTGGATACGTTGTTCTAAAGAGGAAAAAAGAATCTATCACATAAGCTGTACAGATTTAATAGAGAAGAGCTTTTTTTTTTTCCTTCATTAGAAGAAAACTTTGATAATTATTATGTCAGAGGTAACTAAGTGTCAGAAGAAAACAAAATGTCTGTTGGGGGGAAAAGACTTGGGGGGGAGAAGAAGCTTTCAAGAGATTTTTCACCATGAGGAAAAAATGAAAACATAAGAAAAACATGCTGCATCGTGGATGCAGTCTGTTGCAAACGCTGAACTTGTTTTTTTATCATCATAATTATTATTTTAAATGGCAAAGTTGCTGTCAATGACATTAGTGCTTTTTATCTGCCACATTTTACCTTTTTATGAGCTTAAAGATGTTTTTAGCCCGCTTGCTTGTCACACTGCAAAAAGAAAAAAAGAAGAAGAAAAAAATGATAAAATGAATACAAAAAAAACTACAGAAATTAATTCTGGCAGTGAAATAAAAACAGTAGATTCAGTAGGAGCTTACGGTTTAAACAAATCAGTGCAAAAGCAATAGAAGAAATTGTTGACAATTTCTGTAGTCTTTCCTAGTTGTGGATCAAATGCAGCCCATGGGTGGCCATTTTTATACCAAAGATGAAGAGACACTCTGAACCAGAGTTTTGTTTTTGTTTTGTTTTGTTTTCCTTTCCATTTTTCTGTTTGATTTTGTTGTTGTTGATGTTGCTGTTGTTGATGATGTTAATGTTGATATTGTTGTTGTTGATGTTGCTGTTGTCGTTGTTTTTTATTTGACCTTGATGGCCGGACCAGTCCTTACTATCCTTCTTAAAATCTTGTTTTTTGCCGGGTTTAAGCTAGTTTTCCACGGTTGTCCAAGCTGTCACACACACACACACACACACACACACACACACACACACACACACATGTATCTAAACAGATACACTTAATGTAAAAACTAAAACACACACATCAAAAACAGTATTTAAAGTGTGATGCAACCAGTGGCAGTCCTACCAAAAGTCATAGTTCTCCTCCTCTACTTGTCTTTTCATTTCTTTGTATGTCTCATCACTTTTTACGATGCTTCACACACTGTTGGTGCTTTCCAACTCTGTCTTTCTCTTGGATCCTACAGGGAACACTTTAGGAATAGATTGGGGAACATTGCTTGCTACGCTTCGTGGTTGTTGACACATTGCTTCCAGCTTTATGCCCTTACTGCTTTCTGTCCTCAGTCTCTTTATTGCTTTAATTTAACTTTAATTGGGAATCCCCCTGCTGCTGTTTGCCCTTCTGTTAATCTCTTCCATTTATCATCACACCTAGGTCACATTTTTGAGTATTTACGTGCCAGGCATACCAGATGAGTGGTGTTTGCTACATGTTGGACATCAGGTAAGTTGTTTAAAGTGTTTAGCAATGATTGCATAAACCTTATGGCACTTAAAGGTGGGATAGGTAATTCACTTCAGAAACACTTGTTGTTATATTCCATGGAATGCTCTTAACATCCCGATAGCAATGAATATATTAAATGCTTTGACAATAAATACATTAAAAAAATTCATCTGTGGAAGCCGTGGTGCTGTAAAAAGGACGACCAATCATTTTAGCCGGCCCGGCTAAAATAACTGGATGGCCTACCTGCCTGTCAGCCTTCCATCTGTGCACAAACTTATCTCGTGCCCTCATTGGTCACGTGCGCGTTCGTGTGTGTTGGAGGAGGGGCTCTGTAAGGAAGTCCGAAGGAAGGGGTAGATTTTTTTCGGTATAATTTGACTTTTTTCATGAAATATACTTGTACACTTTTTTCCTGAGAGTGAGATGCGATGATCGGTTTCCCTCTCTTGTCTGTATATTAACATATGAGGTTACCGCTAACAGCTGGTTAGCGTAGCTTAGCACAAAGACTGGAAACAGGGGGACAGTTAGCAAGATGCTATGCATAACAAAAGCCTCCTACTTGCACCTCTAAAGCTTACTCATTCATATTTCTTACCTCATTATTTTATGTATAGTTTGTCGTCATCGTTAGCTGGACAAGCAGAAGTGACTGTAGAATGTCACGCAATTTCTTTAAAAGACACTTGAATACAAGCTAAGTGTTAGCATTATAGACGCTGACACTGTGACACTAACAAGGCATGGTAGAGGTGTGTTTAAAGACTGGAAAACGACTGTCTGTCCTGATCATCCCCCGGATCATTGATCCACCACCAGCAGGGGGGGTCTTCACACCTGTGGGAACAGACCAGGATCCTCACCAGCTTTAACTTGTCGATGGCAGCTCCTTCCTCTGCCCCGCCACTGAGTGTCAGTTACACCCCTGGTTGTCCCAATTTGTTGCACAAACAGCCCTGCACATCTTATCTGGTCTTTCCGTCCCTGAGCTGTGTGAGGGTTCCAATGATTTCATCTCTGAGGATTGTCCCCTGAGGAAATGGCCTGTGGGACAGCGGCCATTTCTGCCCCCATTATAGCAGCCTCTGTGTGTTGCTCTGTTGGCCCGTGCCCGCCCGCTCTGCCCCACTGTGGATCTACAGAGCTAAAAAGCTCTGTGTTCTCCCTGCTTCACTGGCACCATTAATGTGCCATGGCCAAGCCAGGGTCCTTTTGCTCTCATTTTCCCTAATTCTCTCCCTCCCTTCCTCCCCCCCTCTCTCTTGCACTCCCACTGGAGTTTCTTCTCTTTATTGGATGGTGCAGAAGCAGAACCACAAACCAATTTCAGTCACTCTCGCAATGAGGCTTGACGGGCCCAATTTGTCTCCCTCCGGGGCAATAGGATCCACTCCAGTGTCCCTCAAAAGACCCCTTTCTTCCAGACTGAGGGAGCTTTTTGTTTGGTGACAATTGCAATTGAGCTCTTGCAGTTCATGTGACTCGTTTAAATCTACAGTAAGTCCATTGCTCTATTTTTTAGCATGATGGCGTGTTAAGCACACTACAGGCAAACGTCATCATGCGAGGCGGTGTTTTTAATTTTCCGACGAGTTGTACATCGAGTGCCTTTTAACAAAGCTTCCAAATTATTCAAAATTATTTGTGTGGGAGCAAATGGAAGATTTTTTTTTATTCAATTGTGCTAAAGAAATGTGACACAATATGGAAGCTACTCTATGGTGCTAAAGAGGAGGCATTCTCAGGCTTTCGCCTTGACTGATCTCTGTGATGAGCCGGCCACTGTTGATCGTTTGGCCTTTACTCTTAACAGGCCTCCTGTCCACTTGACAACACAGACAAGAAACTGACACACAGCTTCCTCATGTGAACTACACCTTTAAAGCCATACTCACATTATCTTTCCTCGGCCAGAAATTGCTAGTCATTTTTATCTTCCGTCCACCAATGAAGTTGAGAAGCTAAATGTGTCATTCAAACTGTCTCTCGTTGACTGTTAAGCTGTTTATTGTCCAATCAAATCAGCACCTGCCCTTTTCCTTTCATCTGATCCACATTCCACATCTGATCCACATTCCACATCTGCTTGAACTTGCCTCCAGGCTATGATTTGCTCATATATCCCAAAGAACAAGTCTCACCCACGTTACAGTCTTTAACGGCTAACAACTGACAAATGTTGGGTTTATGAGCTCCCGGGACTTTCCCACATTGCTCATCTGTTTCGTCCTTGTTGCATTTGCTCAATGTAGTCCATCACTGAGTCCTTTTATGTGGTAAACTGCTAAACTTTAACTTTACCAGGTTTAAGCTAGTATGTGTGTGTGTCAAGAGTTCTTCTACTCAAACGATTAGCTATGAATACAGCATAGCTAGCATAGACTTTTACAGCTGCTGCTTTTATAAAAGTAATACAGAGAGACATTTTCGAAGCCTAACAGGGCTCATAATGCAGAAGTTGCACATCGGAGAGCAGAGCGTCCCACAGAAGGCCTGAGATTCAAAAGCAATGGCATTATGGGAAATAGGACTACACATCGCCAAGAGATTATGGATAATAACAATGCACAACAACAAATATCAGATCTATTTTGCTAATGGAGATTCAAGATTGAAAATGTTAAGGCAGGTGTTTGCTTTTGGTGCACGGCGCCAATATTTCACAGAGATCTAAAAGATTACCCGACTGAACAAGCAAAAATGGCTCTCTCTTAATAGCACAATGGCTTAACGTACCTTTTCAGAATACAAATTTGGAAGTGTACAGAAGGCACGCCGGCAATTTTAAGGAGGCTGTAGCAGAAAACGCTCCTCTCTCAGTCAGCCCATGTGTCAGCACAAACCAGGAGTCAGCTATACCTAGAAAGTTTGTGTGTGTGTGTGTGTGTGTGTGTGTGGGAAAGAACAAGAGGCAGATCATTAGCTGCTGTTGCCGGGCAGAAGTGGTCAGAACCTGGAGTTTCTCCGTGCTCTTGCAGCAGTATGTCCCGTGTACAGGTCTCCAAAAGGGGACGAGCTCCACCCATCACTCATTAGCAACACAGACTTCCTCTCTCACACCATGACCATCCCTCTCTCCTTTTCTACACAGTTGATCATTGTTCCAATCTCTTCTAACCTTAAGTCTTGTTTCTGGCTGACTTCAACACTCCATCGTGAGGCTGCCACCATTTGCAATCTGTGTCCAAGCACTGCTTGCATAGATTTTCTCAAATGAAATTGTAGACCACCATTGCATTTATTATTTTTGCATTATTTGTCTACAGCTGGTTGGAGATGGAATTTCCTTGGCTTGTCACTAATATTGCTGAGTAAACCTAGGCCTAAGTGGTGCTCGATCACCTTTAAGTCTTGTTTTCCTTAAGTGTTATGATGATATTGTTTGCTGCTATAGTGCCAAAAAGAAAAGGTTTATGCAATCATAATGAGTGTTGAAAACATTGAAATCCATTATTTATTTTTAAAATATCTGAATTGCCTAAGTGCAGTAAATCTCACTCATCTGGTGCCTGAAGGAAGTGTAATCAGATGTTCAGAATGACTTTTCTTGATACAGGAAAAAGCAGAATACTGTCCACTAAAAGAGCGAATGGTGGGCTTGAGATTTTACCTACATCCTGGTCTTCTTCAGAGTCAGTTTTCCAGACGCGGTATTGACTGAACGTTTTGTCTCCATCCTAACTCACCGTTTTTCACAATAACTGCAG